CACGGCTTGAGTGGTACACGCTTCCGAAATGTTGAAGAAGTGCGAGAATGGGTGGACGAATGGATTGCTTCGAAACAAACATCGTTTTATCGAGATGGTATCGCCCAGTTGCCAGAAAGATGGCAAAAAGTTGTAGAAAGTGATGGAAAATACTTTCATTGAAATAATTTAAATAAATTTTTTACAATAAATGCTTTTTCTCAGTATTTTTTGGGCGGAAACTAAGTTAAGGTCCTAATATAATAAGACTGCGTTTGGAAACACCACTGTGTGCACATTACTAGACGATAGCCATTGGAGTGAGCGAAATACAAGAGTGAGATAAAAAAGAGGGAGAGTACTCGAGTGACGTTTCGGAACGCGACCTAAGTTGCGTCGCAGTGAAATTTTTATGTTATACATATAAATATTTTTATACATATAAAAAGTTGTATTTAAGAACTTTCAATTATATTAATTATTCATATTTTACTTATCTTGGATTTATCAATCATCCATATTCATGTGTTCCTCTATGGATATAGTCGTACTGCCACTCTAATTTTCCAGCTGAAGATACAAAATATTCATATAATGTATTTCTTTGATCTTGAGCTTTCTTAACGTTTTCATTACATTCTTCAATAATATTTGGTAATGACAACCACATTGCATTCTATGATAATTATTAATGTTCAATATCATTAAAATATCATTATAATATGATATTTTTAAATATCATTAAAATATATAAAATATTATATAGAAAAGAAGGTGATATTATGGCCAATGTAGATATTATAGCCTCCTTTAATATCTCTGCTATTATGTATAGGTGACGAATTTTAACAATTATTTATGGAATCATTTTTTAAGTAGTCCGCCGTTTTATAATAATACTAATGTGTCAATACACAATAGCCATAACATTTTTTATAACGCATTCATAATATGGCAGCGTTCCAAATAACCATGGTACGATTGGACACCATCAACCAGTGCAAAGAATTATTTAGTGAATTACCAGGTCGAGCCAATTATTATAATCTGTGTCCAATCGTACTGTGATCAATCGGGTCTCACTCCATAATCACTTTCTTTTCTATATATAAAATAAATCTAACTAATAAATCATAATAACTGTGCATTTCTCCTATTATCTAGTTATACTTTTTTATCTGATTTATATAATTTTCTTCAAATATTTCTGTGCTATAATGTTTTAGTTCACTTTGTTGTTCTTCTTTTAGTACATAGTTATGTAAACAGACCAAAGCTGTTACAATTGTATTAGCTATTTCTGTTAACATACAAATTGCTGTGTGAAATATTTTCCATTTATTGGCAAAAATACTAAAAGCACTTTCAATAGTTCTGCGTGCTCTAGAAAATCTGTAGTTATAAATTTTTTATTTATCGCTCAAATTTTTAGCAGAATATGGTTTCATTATTCTATTTGAGAGTTTGAAAGCATCAGCAATAAAATTCAAACGTCTTTAAATTACTACCAGGAAGATTAATAGTTCCTTTTGGTAAATTTAACTTTTCATTATTTAGGTTATTTCCTATTTGAGAATCGTTAAAATTTCCTCTATCGCTATTTCCTACATTTATTTATATACATAAATTGTTTTTCTTTTATTATATTTTGTAAAAGTATAAACAATTATATTTTTTTCAAATTACCTCTATATGCTCGAATATCAACTAATGTAAATTTATACAAATGATCAGCCACTGCCATTAATACAATACTATAATATTTTTTATAGTTGTAAAATAAAGTTCCGGAATTTGGAGGACATTTTATTCTTATATGTTTGTCATCGACAGATCCAACATAATTAGGAAGATTCCACCTTTTCCAATATTTATCTGCACACTTTTTCTAATCTTCTTTAGTAGGATAAGTAAGATATAGTAGTTCTAAAACTTTGATCAATACTAGACAAACTTCCTTTATTATTTCTCTGACTGTAGATTCCCTGACTTGAAATGCCATTGCTATTGATAATGATAAATCATCTGTGTAGCAAGATATCTACACAAAATATAATTGCATTAAAAATGGCACAAAAGCAATTATTTTTTTAAGACAAAAGGTGATAATTACAATATCAAATATCTTAACATCTCAAAATATAATAAAATTGTGTGTAAGCTTATTAACTCAAAGTTATTATAAATCTATGTTCTGGAACAAGAGCACGCCCTTATGAAAAAGTACTATTAGTGGTACTATTAGAACCATAGCACTAATGATATTTTTGCTTTAGTGACACTGTTAGTGATAATAGTTCTAGTAGTTACTTTAAAAACAAACGTTAAAAACAATGGGTTAAGTTCACTCTTTTTCATTAAAAAACGTTTTTTCAAATGTTTTGGAAAAAAACTTTTAAAATATTTAATAAACGTTTTTTAAATATTTAGTTTTTTAAATATTTATTAAACGTTTACGTGAACATTTATAAATATTATAAAAATATAAATATTTTTCTCTTTCCTTGAATTTTTCACTTTATTGTTTCACACGCTACTTAATTTAATTTAAATTGTACACTTCGAAAATTTTCTTACCATGCTGGGATTCGAACCTGAGAGCTCTGCTTCTTGAGTTGTTCACCTTACCCACTGCGCCACTGTCACTTTCACCAAGAAACACTTTATATTATAAACATATGGTATATCCATGTACGAAAACAAATGATTTATTAAAAAGAAAAGAATAGATCTTTTTAAATGTAAAAAGTATGTTTGTATATATATATATATATATATATATATATATATATATATATATATATATATATATAAAATAAATATTAAATTAATAATTAATACTAAAAAAATGTTTATTTAAATATTATTTAAAATGCGTGATTAATGTAATACAAATATTAAATTAATATTAAATAAACGTTTTTTTAAATATTATTTCAAATGTTTAATGTCAAACGTTAAGTAAATGTTATATAAATATTTTTCTTAAATTTTTATTTTAAATGTTTAATAAATGTTACAATAACGTTTAATAAATATTGTATAAACGTTTAATAAATATTAAATAAATATTTTTACAATAAACTGTACAATGTAATATCAACGAAAAATAAATATTTAAAAAACGTTTAAAAAATATTGTCTGCTGATTGGGTAACGTAATTGTTATAGAAAATAAATTTTTGTACAGGAAAAATAATATTTAATAACCTTATAAACGTATTCCTGTAATAATAAATTATCTTTTATAGTTTTTCTATAGTAATAATAAAGTTTACATACTTATACAAATCAGTTCATCAAATATCACTTATAATACTCGTATTATCACTATTGATATTTGTAGTATCACTTCTGACACTACTGGTGTCACTAATAATATCACTGCTAATACTGGTAGTGTCACTATCAGCACATAGTGTTACAATTAATACTATTGTCATTACTAGAGTCACTAACAGTGCCACTATTAACATTAATAGTTACTTATTAATGTTAATAATATAAAGCACTATCTGTTCTGTTCTGTAATGGCTCCGGGGGAAAAGGTTATCCCCATACGCCATTCTCCAATCCTTATGCCTCGTTTGTAGTTACTGGTGTAAACTTCATGCTCCTATAGGCTTTGATGTGTGCTCCTCAGAAAATTGTCTATTTCTTTAAATGTTTTAATAGGGAGCGGTGCACTTGGACACAGCCAATCACAGCACCGTGTGATTAGAGACATTTGTAGGGTCCCTTGGAACAGCGACTTGTGATTGGACTGTGTCCAATTGCCTCGTGTCCAACTGATATACACCCGTTTTAATACGCTTCAAATCGAAAGCTCGGTCATGAATCAAATCAGCAGCTGAGAATTCACAATTGATTTGCGATAATTTGGTTAGTAAATGATCCGATTCCTTTTGGTATTTTGGACAGTTGAATACGATATGTTTTGTGCTCCTAAAAGTCCATCCACACTCACAATTGGTATGTTCAATGATGTTTTTATCAATTAAGTGAGGTAGTGAACATATATGAAATGATCTGCACCGGGCAATAAGAGTAATAACGCTTCTGTTCACTTCCCAGGTGTCTTTGAACCACGGCTTTTGCGTTACAGACTCGATTTTACTCCTGTATTTGCTTCCTTTGTCTAGAAATTCATTTTTCAGCTCCTGAAT